TCGGTGGCAGCCAAGGAGAAGAAGAAGTAATACTGCGTGATGCAGCTGGGAACTGAGATGATCCCCTGGGGAACTCAGAAAATTGGCCAGCATCTTGGGCACAGTGACTGTGGTGTACCAGAGCTCTACCAAGGAGAGATTGCAGACGAAGAAGTACATGGGAGTGTGGAGGCGCCTGTCCAGGACCACCACGAGCACGATGAGGGCATTGCCCACCAGGGACAAGAGGTAGACCAGGAAGAAGAGGGAGAAGAAGAGAAGCTGGAGACGTGGGGAGCTGGAAAACTTCAGGAAGACAAATTCAGTGACCAATGTGCGGTTGACTCTCTCCATTTGTCCTGGTGGATCGGCTGACAAAGGAGAGGAGTGGGGTATATGAACATCTTAAGATGTCCTCAGTTACGTGTTTACCTTCTAATCTCTGTCCCACTGTTTGACATGCACACACTCCCAATCTCTCACTATTCCCTTTAATTCACTCTTTGGCTGCCTCTCAGCTTCTCCAAAGCAGAGAGTACTCTACTTTTTTAAAAGTAGGATGCTGACTATTCAAGGCCATCTCTCTTCCCTCATTGAAATAGGTTCTGAAATGCCATGTTTCCCGGGAATTTTCTTCCAATTGATTAGAGGAGAGAACTCTGCATCAATGGCTCTAGCTAGACTGAGCGTGTAACATACCTGCTGCCATGTATAGTTTGAACCATATATTGTTATAAACTTTTTTCACACACAAAAATAGCAATTTCATGATTAAATCTAATATCTCTAAGGACTGCTTAGTATATACCCTTGAGCTCTCTCTAGCCCTAAGATTCTTTAACTGTCAGGTTTGCAGAAGGTATGGAATGTTAATGTCAATGTTAAAACATTAATTAATTAACGTTTGTCTATCTGTTCTGTACACATGCCTCTGAGTCAGTGGCTCTGTCTTATGCCATCAGATCTCGGAAGGTAGGGATGCAGTGAGAGTGAGCTTCCCTTTGCACAGGTTTCAGTATAGGAACTTCAGGGAGACTTCTGGATTCTGGATATCACAGGCAGAGCAGGGGAGATCTTGCTTGAAGGAGGGTAAAGAGGGGAATGTATTTTAGAGTGAAAGGGTGAATCCAGTCTGGAATTTCCAGGTGGCAATTTTGGGATGGATTAAAATCGTTGAAGGGAGAACAGCTGTTATTGATTACAACCAAAGTGACAAAAAAGCAAACCTCAGAGAAAACTTAGTCTTGCAGGGTTACAGTTAAGATTGGGATGAATGAAGATGTTAGTGTTGACATTATCAAGACTTGAGTTTTACATAGATTTCCAATTTTTAAAGGATTCTTCCTTTGAAATGCCTCTAAAAATGGAAATAGCAAAAATATTCTTCCCTAGGAGTTAGGCTAATACACTATACATCTAAACACATGGGAAATTGTTCTAGCCCAATATAAAGTGAAGAAATGATATGATGCAAAACCCAACAACCAATATGATCTGGTATATATTCCTAAGGCGTCATATTACCAGTGACTTTAAATGTGAATTTCTCTTTCCAAATATCTTACAATAAACACATTTTCAATCCCATAAGATATTGTTTTATTTTACTGGTAAAATATTTATTTTATTTTGGTGTCAAAAATATATTGTTAGTTGAGAACAACTAGAGAAATGGACAAGTGTTAAGAAGAAAATAAGGATCACCTGAAATTTTTCCATTCAGCAATAGACATCACTCATATTTTGGGGTGTTTATTTATAGGCTATTTATTTTCATGCATGCATGTACACACACACACACACACACACACACACACACACACACACACACACATGTAGAAAGTACCTTAATCATTCATCCTTTACATTCCATTCTCCCATTTCCATCCTGGTCTGGTCCCTCAGCTTCATCTCCTTGGCTCCTGTGCCACCGCCCATCAAGTTACCCAGGCTACAAATATGGACTCATGTTTAATGGCTCCTTCCGCCCTCTCCTTCCCTACCACTGTCTCAATCTTTTGAAAAATTTTGCTGATTTTATCTCGAAAATTTTTCTCAATTTGGTCCTTTTTCTATGCTCCTATCGACACAGTTTTAAATGAAATCATCTTTTACCTTTACTAGTGCAACTGCTTCCTGGAACTAATCAGTTTCATTTATACAATTAACAGAGTCTTCCTATTTTTTCACATTATTTCTATGCTTCAGTTTTTCTATTGATTACTGAAAAATGACAGTTACTGCAATTTCCGGAATTTTAAGTTAATATACATTACACCCGTATTATCTAATCTTCGCAAAACCCCTGAAAGGTAGGTGTTATTACCTTCATGACACAGAAGAAGAATTGAGACTCAGAATATTTAGTAAGAAGTGAAAGCATGACTTAAACCCTCCTCTTTGTAGTTTTGAGGGCTCCAGTGTTTCTATATACAAAGCTCCTTAGAAGTGCATGTAAGACCCTTCACAACCCGGATCCCATCTTCCTTTTCAGTTTCATGAATCCCCCTCCCCGTCCCACACACATCCAGCTTCGGTCACTTGGCCATTAGTGCTTCTCACAGTTCTCATTTTATGCCTCTATGCCTTTGCAAATGCTGCACCCTCTCCTACCTAAAAACTCCTTTTCACCCATCAAGACTCATGTTAAATTTTACCTCCTCTGTGAAACCTTTCTTTGTTTCACAGTCGAATCCTTCATCTTGGTGCTTCCCTCTAGTATTTTGTCTATTTCATATTTATGGCATTTGTCACAATGCTTCATGGTATATTTATGCCTGTATTTTTATTCTTAGGTTTGAGCTTCCTGAAGTCAGGAGCTCTGTTGTGCATGCTTGTATTCTCAAAGCCGAGGGTACCGCCTGGAAGACAGAGCAGTAAAACTGAATGGCAAATGAAGGAATTAGTGGATACGTAATCAAAGCGGCTTCCTAATTGTATCCAGCTTCTATCTTTTCCAAAGTGTGCTGAATTCCCTGCTATCGGATCTTCCTGGACACGCCTTTCATTTCATCATTCCTCTGTTAGATGCACAATGACTCCCTGTAAAATATTATATATTAAGTCTGCATTTCTTTGCAGACCCTGCAAAATCAGTCCCTACACCATCTGGCTGTAAAAATATAGTTTTAGGTTTACCAGTGGGATTTTTCCTGTTTTCCCCAAACTCATTCTAAATTCACACTTTCTGAGGGGACCTTCCTTTCTCAACAGGGGCTGCTGTGAAGTGTTACACTAGTAGAAACAGAACCACTGCTCCACCCTCCAGTCTTAGGTCGTTTAAGAGGAGAGCTGGGATGAAGGAGTGGGTCATGTTTATGGGGAAGGCAGGGTTCATGAAGACAGGCCATCCCTACTTCTGGCCTTCCAATGCGGTAAGAAGGTGTGTTTTCAAATTTTTTTCTTCCCTGAAGTCAAAGGAAAAAGGGGTACCTGCAGAGAGAGAGAGGGACGGATTTCTGGATTTTTGGCCAGATGTCCACCCAGCCATTGGGCTTGCTGATCAGCAGTGTGCTAATGGAGAAGGAGCCTCACGAGAGGTGATTTGGAGGGGCCTTTGGGGTGGAAGAGACAGGACCTGCTTCCTTGAATTACTGCTTCCCCAGGGGTATGCAAGATGGATCCCACCCATGGATATGGGCTCCAGAGTGAGGGTCATGAAGGTAGATGGTATTAGGGGCAATACTGGATCATAGGACAAACAGTCAGGAATTTAGTGTGAGGTCATTAGCTGGGAGGCAACTGGAAGATGAAGCTGGGTGGGTGGCAAAGTTGTAGGGGAGCTGATCACCACTTATCTAAATCACACAAAGAGCTAGAGAAGAAGCTTACACCAACCAAGAAGAGAATGCAACCTTGCCAGTATGCTGCTCCTCTCCCTCCTCACCTCCCCACTACCAGAAGGGGTGGGAGCAGGGAAGACGAGGTGTAATGAGGAACAGAGCGGGCTCTTGCCATGCTGCTAGATGAAATATAGTGCTGGCTGATGGCTGGGGTCATAGAAAAAAAGCTTTGAAGTGAAAATATGATCAAGACTCAAAAATAGACAGGCCTTTTTGTGCAAAATTATGCCTCAATGAAAACAGAAAAAAAACCCCAAACAGTCTTAATAACCAGAGGAACACTTTTAAAAACTAAAAGTGACTGACAAATTAGGGAATCTGACTGAGGATCATTAGAGAAGTCGGCTATCTACTGGAAAGGGAGGGAGTCGACAGGACATAGTTTATGCCAGTCATCTCAAGAATAAAACTGTTCCGCATTTACACCCTATACATTGACACTGCTTAGTAAACTGTATATATCACTAATTTCTTTTTTTTTTTTTTTCTTTTTTCATGTCTGGTAACGTACCGCAACCCTCAGTGTCCCGCCTGTACCAGACTGGGACCGGCAACAGGATTGCAACCCTCGGTGTTGCTCCCACACCTTGCTCAGCCAGTGAGTGGCAACCGGTCTGTATGTGGGATCCGAACCCTCGGCGGGAGCGCCGCCCTGCTCCCAAGCTGCGCACTGTAGCAGTGCACCACCGGGCCGGCCCTATATCACTAATTTCTGATGCACACTTAACATTCAGAGAATCTGGTGTTTGAGAGTCAGTTTTCCTTATTCTACAGTGAACCTCCAGGCTCCTTCCTGCCTCAGTGCCTTTGTTCATACTGAGCATCCTCCTCGGTGTTTTGTAAAATAGCAACCATCCGTCTTGATTCACTTATGAAAGCTTAGACAACTGTTCTAGTCCACTGATCTTTACATTCCTGAATTTCTATTGTTCAGAGAGGGCCGTGCAGTTAGTCAGAGTGGAAACTGGACCTGGATATTCTGGTCTAATAACCTCATCTGTAATAAGTGTCCTGAAGCCCAGAGAGGAGGTGGCTTGTCGAGGGTTACCCAGGTGATGTGCGATGTGAGAACTGGAGCCCTCTAGACTTCAGGTACCTAAGTCTACCTGCTGGCTTGCATTTGCAATTGTGTCTTTAATTTTCTCGTGAATAACTGTCTTTCCAGTGGGATTGTAAATTCAGCATCCATGTCTCATAAGACCTTATATCCCTTTCCACGTCTATGTTCTCAGCATGCTGCCAGACTCAGGAAGGCAGGAATGGATTTGCATCTGACATTTCTATTTTCCCCTATTTGTACTTCTTTGCTCCCTGTGTCAAGTTGCAAACTTTTATGATACTGCTGGAGTGAGCGACATAGCCATGGAATGGATAAAGCCAGGTGGTTTTCTGGTGAAGAAACCAAAACAGCTCTATTCACTGAGCTAGCTCACATGAAGACCTCTGTGGATGGAGAGGAAATGTGAGAAGTTACGTTGTCCCTTTCTCTCCCACCTTGTCCGAATAAATGAA